TCTATCACCATATCCACTATGATTTTGCTTGATGTTCTTGTTATTATATGTTATTTTCTTGCATTCTCTTGTTTCCTTCTCACGGCACTCTTCCTCTCTATAAGCCACCTCTCATTCTATCGTTTCCTTGATTTCATTGGACATATCGGTGAGTTTTCTTTTCATCGAACGCATTACTTTCTTCAAGCTTCTTTTGGATGCTTTGTGGTGATCTAACCATGTTTTTTTTCGTTCACTTGTAGATTTCGTCGTCACCCTTGCTCTTTGTCGCTTTTTCTTTCCATGTATTTCTCATCTTCACTTCAAGCATGCATTTTATTACGATCCTTGATAGCTGAACAAATGTCTTAAGTCTAAAGCTGGCTGTAAGACGTTCTATATCATTGTCCCATAGGCGGTCAATATTATTGTATAGTGTTTTGGTTTGTAAAAAAGATTGTACCCCATGGAGGCGATATTGAAGGTTGTATAATAAATATACAGGGTGGCGCATCGAAAACGAAACAGACGCATTTACTGGCAGCTCAGGTTTTTTTTTGAAAAACGTTCAGACCCGTCAATTTTGTTTTCGACTGGGACACAAGTTTTTAAAAAAATCACGACACGTGCAGCTCCCTGGGCGGGGGTGACATCAACCCTAAAATCTTAAATGGAAACGGGGGTCGAGTGATACCTTATTTTAAAGGTCTTTCAATTCTCTTTATAATGATGTTAAATATATGAGCTTCAGTTTAGTAGTTTTGAAGATTTATTGATTTAAAGCTTAAAGTAGACTTTAATAGGTACATCAGATTCGTTTGTACTACTTTCCGACGAAATTTGACTAAAAGAATTTACTTAATAAGTAAATGCTTTTCTTCAATACGCCCATGGTTTGTTTATCATTTTGTTGTTGAAAATAGCTATTGGAGAGTTTTTTTGTGGCAAAAAAATGTTATTTCTTGAAGAAAGGTAAGGAAGTATCTCGTACTTAAATACGAATTGCGATTGAATTGACCAAACTTTGTTGCTAAACTAACTTGTAACGCCTTATTACATAAATTAACCATGGTATATTCCACAGCAGAATGAGTTGAAATTATCGAAATATTTTTCGGAAATAATCAGTGGGGGTTTTAGGCCAAGTTTATGTAGATCCTACGTTAAGTACCGGCAAATTGGAGACTGTGTGTGGTGTTAGTCGACATACTGTCCAACGGATTCTAAAGGCCCATAGTTTTCATCCGTATAAAGTTCACCTGGTACAAGAACTTAATGAAGACGATTTTGATCGACGATTACAATTTTGTGAAGATATGAGTGAACGAATTATAAACGATGAACATTTTCTATTCAACACTTGCTTTTCTGACGAATGTTCCTTTTTCTTAAATGGCGTAGTAAATCGTCATAACTGCCGATATTGGTCCGACTCTAATCCCAGAATTTATCATGAGGTTTTGGGCTGGTATTTTTTTACCTGGAAATTTGACCAGTGAAATGTATTTGGAATTACTGGAAGACGCTATAGATCCTGCATTAACAGCCATAATTGAAAATCAGAATGATCGGCGGTACATTGCGAATAGGTTGATGTTCCAGCCGGATGGTGCACCACCACATTACGCATTACATGTTCGACAATATTTAGATCAGACGTTTCCAGATCGATGGATTGGTAGAAGAGGTGCCATTGAATGGCCCCCAAGATCGCCAGATTTATCACCTTTGGATTTCTTTATGTGGGGTCATTTAAAAAGCAAAATCTATGCTACTCAGCCAACATCATTAGAAGACCTGCGACAAAGAATTGTGAATGAGTGCCTTCAAATTACTCCTCAAATATTGCAAAATGTGCGGCAACGTTTTGAGTAAAATCTTTATTATTGCATGGAGAGTCATGGTGGCCATTTTCAACATTTAGCCAAATATATTGATCTCCACTAATGATGATGTATAGTTTAATTTAAGCTTTAAATCAATAAATCTTCAAAACTACTGAACTGAAGTACATAAATTTTATATCATTATAAGGGGAATTGAAAGACCTTTAAAATAAGGTATCTCTCTACCCCCCTTTCCATTTAAGATTTTTTGGTGTTGTCACCCCCGCTTAGGGGGCTGCACGTGTTAACGTGATTTTTGCCAAACTTGTGTCCCCCTCGAAAACAAAATCGACGGGTCTGAGCGTTTTTCAAAAAAAAACTGGGCTCCCAGTAAATGCGTCTGTTTCGTTTTCGATGCGCCACCCTGTATAAAAGAATCGTGAGCACAGACGTACAAGCACATTGTGTAAACAGCCCTCGTCAGAATTTTATGCACTTGACATGTTGCGTGAAAGTGACTTGTAATGCGTGGCCGCAAGTGCAAAAAAAAAGAAAAGGAAGAGGGCTCAGGTTTATTGATAGGAAAAAGTACAGCAACGAAAATTATTAATGATCTGAAAGGTTGAATCAATGATTTCCTGCAGCTTTTGCGAACGGACGGTTTGTGATGACATACCAACTGATGTATGTGGAATGTTCCAACAGACGCCTATACCCACGACACCAAAAATTATTCACATGTTCAATATTGCCGCATCAATCAATTTATTGCACAACCAAATTGCAACAATAAATTGAGCGACTTGATTCTTCACTTAATTACGAGAAATAAGATAATTAGCCGAGTCTGATTCCAGCTAATTACCGCGTGCAACAATCTGTCGACCGTCACTGATGAATCCGTGTGTCCACGCACTTAATTAGGTAGTCAATAGATTAAGTCTGAGTTACTCTTTAGCTGCATACTATATGCCAAGTTACTCTTATTGAATTAGAATTAACTTGGGCATAGAAGTACAAAGAGGTTTTCGCACGGTATTCAAGTAAATTGAATATTTACTCGTTTGTTGAGGAATAAGCATTCTGTAATTTGATTTACGTCTTAAAAGCATTTATTAAGCAGAATTTTGTACACCAAGGAAAAAACAATGTGCTAGATTGAGTGACCTGATATAAACCTGTTACACAAATCGTATAATTTTTATCTAGTTTGAGAGATATTTCACTAGCGATCGACCATATTCATACGATCTATTGCTTCAAAGATGTCCCCTGGTTGGTCGAATTTTCGCTGGGGATAGCAATATCGCCCCTTAAAGACTTTTTCATACCCATGTTTGAAATCGGCGTTCTAAATTAACTCTTCTCTATTATGCTCCGGCTATCTAATGGTCATGATAGTATATATACTGTCTATTTTGATCGATGCCCACTTTAAAATTGGGGTGGTAGAAGTTATTCGCCGCTCATGCCAGGTCGATTAACCTTGGGATATGAAAAACTGTAACAAGTGAATTAAAAATTAACAAAAGGTACCGGGGATTTGCCGCTTTCATGTATGCTGTATTATTTCGGTATACTTTTCTCCGCCTTAGCGGAGATTCTATGAAAAAATGGGTTGCTTAATTAAAATTTTAATCTTTCAAAGAACCCCTTTCATACTGTCATTCTCAATCACCCTAAAACTCGGTTTTATACGTTTTAAGCAATGGACTTTTCTAGCTGGATCTTCTTTAAAAGGATCTACTTTACTACGTCATAATTTTAATGTAGCAGACTACTGCCGCTTTTGGCTTAAGATTTTTCATCACCTTTTTACGAACTCTCACAAAATAGTACATTTATTGTCTACACTGAGGAATTATTCCGGTTATACAGGGTCTATTAAATACCCGAACACTCCGAAAACTTGGCAAACACGTATTTTTAAGGAAAAGAGGTTATGGAAAAAGCTCAGGATATCAGAAAAGCAATTTGTCGATGACCTCAAATATTACCTAGGCAATGGCATTAGGAGTCATTTTGTTGTTACTTCAAGTAGCAACGATCATTTGACAGCAAATTCGTGCCGAGGTCGAGATACTAGATCAGAGTGTATTTTCATACATCAGGTCAAGCGGTCATAAGCGTGTTCATTCAGTTTGAGCTACTGTAACGTCTAAGAAGAACACAATCGGCAATAGTGGCTGCTATTTTAATTTATGAACTAGATCTCCAAATGACCTCTGGTGTCCTTGCCTAAGCCATTGCCACTGGTTGCCACCGTTTTCATTGTGTTGAGCTACTTTGGCTGAGCTAATTTTGGAATAAACAGTGAGCTACCTAGTCGTAAGCAATGAAAGCCAACTTAAATGAACATGTGTTTATTTTACTAATACTAATACTTCGTACTAATAAACTTAAATAAACTAATAACTAATACTGACACATACTACATCCATTCCTACCAATCGTAGATGTTTGACAAATAAACAAAATTTTTCGTGAGCTACAATGGCATGTCACATACGATTTAATAAAGATAAATACAAATAAAAAAACAAAGCACTATTTTAAACAAAAACATGTCCAGATAGAGAATGCGTCTTCAATGAGAAGCCTGACACTCAGACTCACTGAAAATTTTTTTAACGCTTGAAGTATAATTTGATACCGCCATTCGAATGCAATTGTCCAAATGTTTATCTGTAGGTCGATTACGGTGTTTGTTTTTAATACACTTCATAATTGAAAAAGAAGATTCACACAAATCGGTTGAACTAAATAACGCTTTCACTTTCAAGGCAACATGACATAAAACTGAATATTTGTCTTTACTTACTGAATGCCAGATACATTTTGTATTTGAGACTAATGATTTTAAAGCTAAATCATTTTGAAACGCAATCATTTCCATTTCTGCTGCAGCGATGTGTTCGCCAAAATTCCTCGTAACAGAAGTTGCAAACTGTTCGATATCAATTTCCATGAAGGGTGAAACAACAAATTGCGCCACTATAGCAATTTTGTTGAAATCCTTGAAACGATTTTTGAAGTTATCCTTCAAGTTAGAGACTACTGCTACATGATATTTACTTTATTCATATGGTTCTAATGGACCTTGAAATATCTTTTCTGAGAGAACAGGAAATGCCTGGTACAGCCATCGATTAAGTTTTGTTCCAAAACTCAAGCTTGTTGATAAACGATTTGATATCAGAAATCATTTCTGCCAGTTCTTCGCCTCTTCCCCTGAAGCTGCAAATTAAGTTCATTTAATTTTCCTGTAATACCCACAAGAAAACCAAAACCTCTAAGCCAGATTGAATTGTCCAGTCCAGAGTGAAGCAGTAGTTTCCCGTATTGGCAGTCCCTTTCATCGGCCAAGGCTTAAAATAATCTTCTTTGTAACGCTTGAGCTCTAACCTTGTTCACAATTTTTACTACCAATTTCATAACGCTGTTTAGTTTCAGAAAATGTCCAAATAATGCTTGCTGATGGATAATGCAGTGGTAACAGAGAAATTGCGGAAAACCATTTTCGATATTGGAATTTTCTCAGAAAAAACAATATTTTTAAAAGAGGAAAACAAGTCCTGCCCAGTAGCCTGGCCTTTTGGTGGAATAAACTTCAAAAGATCTTATTTAATCGTAAAATCACTAAAAACCATCCTGACGAACACTGCCATCTGAGAGGAGTCAAAGACATCTGTGAGTTCATCCAGCTGCAGTGAAAAATAAGCACAGTTTTCTTAACTGTAAAACTAAATCATTGCTCATTTCTTCTACTCGTCTCATCACTGTGTTAGCAGAAAGTTGTATACATTTTATAGCAGACACTCTCTCATCCTTATTTCTAAGGTTAGCAAATAATCAATTTGCAGCATCTAAAATCGCCTGCTTTATTATTTCCCCATCTTCACAGCGTTTCTTCTTTTGTGTAATTATCTGGGACACCCGGTATGATGCTTCAGTTGCAGCCTTACTTCTGTCGATTGTGTTTCAAAACATTGTCTGGTGTCCAACTAGCTAATTTTTCAATTGATTCAGTTCTTTCGTTCTGTTTGCAGAACGTAATGGGAATGATTTTTCAAAATTCGAATGTACAGTTTTATAGTGCCTCCCGATATTCCAGTTTTTAGCAACGGAAACAGGTGTATTATATAACAAACATACATTTTTACCTTTAACTGCTGTAGAGAGATATTGTTCTTCCCATTCCTAATGGAAAATGGAAACGGTATGTCTTCATCTTATTACTACTGCTCATAATGCTTTTTATGAGAAATTACAAAATTTACGAAAGCTTCTAGGATTTTTACACTTTTTCAAAATATGTTGGGAGCCACCAGAATTGCCTTTGCGAGCTACCGGTAGCGACCACTGGTCTAGGTAATCGACAAGTTACTTTTCAAACGTGTTTTCTCAGGTTCCTTTTCCCAATGGAAAAAAATAGTCGTGTGTGCCAAGTTGTTGGGGTATTTGAGAATTTAATAGATACTCAAATACCGAAACGCCACGACTTCTATGAAGATATTAGTTCGATTTATGAACAAACTATGGCTATGGAACTGAAAAGACCTCCATCTAGTGGTCCGACTGTTAAGAAACCGTTACGTTGACATCGAAAGGTAAAATGCTATTTATAACCTATCAGAAAATTAGTTTTATTTTTGGCATTCGCAAAATAGGATCATTCTGATGCGTTTTTGGTTCACCCAATGGGCTGGAAGCCGCTTGGCCGAAGATGAGCATTTTTACCAAAAAATCATCTCTTTGTTACCATCTCTAAGCATAATAGCCGCATCTGGGGATAAGACATAGTCCAACCATGGAAGACTGACTGAGTATAAAAGTTCCTGCGTATTGGCGATCTCCACCAAAACCTGTTTCTTGGTCAAGTTCAAATGCGTACATCATGAATCTGATGTGAGTTTTTTGCTGAGATGGATTGAATATATCAAAACACTTACTATGGAACTCAAAATAGGGCTTCGGCATTCACACAAAATTTTTGACTGTCATGTTTATGAGCGAAATAGAGAGAGAAACACGCATGTTAGAATGAGATCGCGAGTTCGATACCAGAAACGAGTCTCGCTCCAACATACGTATTTCTGTTATACACATTGCATACTATTCCTCAATAATCCGATCCTCTGCTGGTCATATTGCTCTTCTACTATGAGCATTTGAACAATATGTATAGGAAAAGACGCGAGACAGCTTAGTATTCGGAGAAACATTATCAAACTCTGATTTGCAGAAGACAGCGGAAATATTGCATAACTTTATGCAATGTAAGAACGTTTCAGCATCTTCACGAGCATCTGTTTTCGACCTCGCGTATTGGATGCGCTGTTCTGCCGCAGACAAGCTGAATCTTTTAAAACTCGTCTTCTGTCACGTAACGATGAGGTTAGAACGGCTGTAACGTCGCCTACATTTTTAACCCCATTACACTGCAAATCTTGTTAGACGAACAAAACAGATTCCATGAAAAATAAGTACTGTGAGAGCTCGTCTATTGCGTTTTCGGGATTTGCATTTATTGAGGCTGGGTCTTTGTGTACAGATAGCCAAGAGTTTTTACTTACTTGTCCCAGGAAGGCAAAACTATAACTGTCGTGGAAATCAAATCAAGCCAAGGTCTAAGTATAAGACTGTCATAATAGTTACACAGGAACTGCGGAGTTTGATGAATAGAGTGACGCCAATTATTGGCTGCAATAAGCACGTAGGCGGCGGCAGTAGATATTGTGACGCTGTCCCGATTTCGGCATTCAAAAGGTAATACGAGAGGCACTAGCGCCACCTATAGCAGAACACAAAAATGCATATAGAAATCATCTTTAAATGGAGTTAGGCCCAATTTCACCAATTCTCCACCTATAGGGTAACAGACCGTCAGATACAGCGAATGAGCTTCAAGTTCCAGTCAACAAATTTTAGCAACCAATAGCTATGAAATGTTGAAAACAAAATACTGTCAAAGTATGAGATGACAACTTGTCATTGAAACATCACCAGCTTATTGAATATTAAGAAATTACATATCATTCAGTCAAAATTTTAAGAAATGTTTAATTACAACTGTTGATTTTTTATTCATGTTTATATTACTTTCTTCAATTGATATGTGATACTGGGTGTTTTTTCCTATAAACCTCTTGCAGATAGTCATTAACCACCTACTTGATGACAGGCTCTACCAAAAAATATTGCTCGTTTCCAAACATTCATTATTTTACTTGCCGTTCATCAGAACCATTATGACACCTTAGATTGACATTCCCACAAAACCATTCAGGTTTTTTGATATCCATACATCCATAAAGTTGAATATTTTTCGTTGTTCGGGAACTGAACAAACATCCACACTATATTCACAGCGATTAATAAATTCCCAAATATACGCCCTAAAGCTACCATCAAACCTAAAACCTGCAAAAAAAACTACAAATTTGCCATATTTTTCTTTTTTCACGAGTACACATTCTAGGTTATATTTATATTAGACATTATTTGAATACAGCTAATTATTTCAAGGAGTGACACATGTGTGGGATCTGTCAACTCTTGGTACCAGTCACAAAACATATTATACTCTTAAGGTTTAATTCCATGCTATTCAATGACAACACGGTGACTTGTGCGGTTATCAGCGGCCATTTTGTGAGGGTGCGACAGGGTTGCCAGATTGTGCATTAATATCCCGTTCCACCCTCCTGGTCCCAGGGGAGTAAGTTCCGCCAACTGTTGAAATATACTCTACTATGCTCTAAAAGACTATTCGTGACATTTTCCCAAAATCATTGCACAACACTTGAAAAAATGCAAATGAAAATTTAAAATTCCTTCCTTAACGCCGCAATATAGCTCCGTCGGTACCTTGAGTTATACGTCTTGACAGTAGGAATGTTCGATACGATCCTATATTTAGAAGTATCAATACATTTCACGAGTATCGTCATCTTTCGATCCGGACTGTGTCAGAAAGAGTGACTGCCATTTGGCTGCAACATTACCCTGCCAAATCAGACATATCTTTCATCATTTTCAAAGAAATTTTACAAAATCGTCAAATTTGTGAAGTTAGCGAGTTTCACTTCATACGTTGTTACCAGACATGCCCAAATCATCAGTTGCTGCCGTGATATTCATCTCGACCACTGTTAGACGATACCAAAAATGTTTTCATAAATAGGAGATCATTCCCATTCCGGATGGAACAATCTACCAAAGATGCTTATAATCATGATACCTAGTAAATTTTCACGAAAATAATTCAAAACTAGCAAATGTTAAGTATTCATTCCGCACCCTCCACCACGGGACGTGATCGTCGTTAGACTTGGCAACCCAGCGAGTGTCAGATAGATATCCCCGCCAGTCAAAAAAGAAAAATAGACAAACACTAAACATTACTAGTTTTTTTGATTTTTGGACTTAAAAGCCATTATCTGTGAAACATTTTTCATAATTTTTTGTCTATGTCCATAGTAATTACATTATGCATCAGGGAGATGTAGGGATTGACACGTCTTACACATATTATCTGTGTTTTAGGATGGAGAGGACATAATGTCTTTATTGCTTTGAAGAAATTCATTAACCCATAAATTAATAAATGATTACTATTATGACGTAAAGGAAGATGAGGAATTGGATGGAATGTATTTTATATTCAATTTTCTTGCAAAATACAGGCAAATCCACACTATTCAACAGGTATGTAATGATAACTTTCAGTATATTGAAGTTGGTAAATTCAAGAGTGCCATGCATTAACAAACGTCCAAATCTGCTGCCAAATTTAACAGCTAGAAAATTGACCTATTATTTGCCGCATTCCCATTCGCTGAGGGGGATAACGGATTGTTAAATGTAAACCTATAACATATATCAAAATACATGAAACTTGTCCTGTTTTTTCTGTACAAAAGCATCATGTTGGAATCAAAAAGTGGTCTTGTTTATAATACAGTCGAATTTTCACGATTTTATTCAATATTTCAATAGAAATCACTAATATCCAGATACCTTTGACAGCTTCCGTAAAATTGCATTTCGATAAGGTATTTTCCCATTGGTCCATAATATTAATGTTGGTGAAATTGGCCCTTAGAGTTTCTTTGTTCTGCTAATGTTTCATAGATGGCGCTAGAAGCATCATTCCTTTCCTGATCTCTCTAATAATTATTTCAATTCAGTACCTTCAGGCATTGACTAACGTTTTCCGCTTGAAAATACTGTCACGGAAGCACCGTTTTTACTTTTTAATTTATCACAACACTTGCAACTAATTTATGGACAAACTTCTAACTATGTCAACTGGAATATGTTGACGCATCGGTTGCTTCCGATTGAATCTCTTCGTTGCGCCATCTCCGACTATACTTATTCCCCTATCGACGAGTTTAGAAATACTCTAGCGTTTTTCAGGCCGAGTGGTGGAGCTTCATGGAAGTGGTCTAGATGGTAGATTCATCTCTATGACCCCGAGCACCCTCGAACGTGAACGGTCGCTCTCGGTACAGGGTCGCATAAATGGTTG